CTCAGCATAATGTCTTAAAATGAGAGTCGGGTGATGAAAGTGTTTTGTGTGTGTGTGTGTGTGTGTGTGTATTGGCGAGTAGGGTTAAAACCGAGATAAGGAAAGCAAAGAGGAATAATGAGGTAAGGATAGCAAGGGAGGATAAGACAAACCCCAAAGGATTCTACCAAATGTATCAAACTAAAACACGAGAAAAGATTGGACCAATACGGTCAGACTCCTGCGAGCTCACTGATAACGACGGCGAAATGAGCAATAATTTGAATAAATATTTTTCAACAGTTTTCACCACCGAAAATTTAAACATGATACCCGAGGCACCGACTCTATTCAGAGATAGTGAAGGAAACAAATTAAGCGAGATAGTAGTGACTAGTAACGGTGTTAGTAAGCAAATAGACAAACTAAAGCCTAATAACTCACCTGGTCCCGATGAGATATTTGCCAGAGTATTAAAGGAATGTAAGGAAGAGCTTAGTATGCCCTTAGCAAAGTTGTTTAACATGTCCTTAAAAACAGGTGTAGTACCAGAATCCTGGAGGATAGCGAATGTAATACCGATTTTCAAGAAGGGGGATAGATCACTATCCTCTAACTACCTCCCAATCAGTCTAACATCAATAGTAGGCAAATTACTGGAAGCAATCATTTCAAACTCTATTCGAAATCGCCTGGAGAAGCACCTATTGATCAATGATTCCCAGCATGGTTTCACAAGCAGACGTTCTTGCCTAACTAATCTATTAACATTCTTTTCATCAGTTTTCGAATCGGTAGACGAGGGGCACAATTATGATGTGGTATATCTCGACTTTAGCAAAGCCTTCGTGGTTACAGGACAGGAAACAGCGAGTGAGCATTAACGGCACTAAGTCCCATTGGAGCAACGTCACAAGTGGAGTTCCCCAAGGCTCAGTACTTGGACCATTATTATTTATTATATACATAAACGACATAGATATCCCCATAGACAGCAACATAAGTAAATTTGCTGATGACACTAAAATAGGACGTTTTATCAAATCTGACGAGGACTCGGCAAAACTACAGGAAGACCTAAACAAATTTTTCGAATGGTCTGAAAAATGGCAGATGAAATTCAACGTCGACAAATGTAAAGTACTCAGTATAGAAGATGTAAACAGGGAAACCAGATACCAGATGAACAACGATGCCATAGAGAAATCCGACTGCGAGAGAGATTTAGGAGTAATGATAAGTAGGAACCTTAAGCCAAGTAAACAATGTGTTTTTGCTCGTAACAAGGCTAATAAAGTACTTGGGTTCATACAAAGGAGTGTTAGTAACAAGACTAGCGAGGTCATCCTAAAACTATATCTTGCTCTTGTGAGACCACACCTGGATTACGCAGTTCAGTTCTGGTCACCGTATTACAGAATGGATATAGAATCCTTGGAAAGAATTCAGAGGAGAATGACAAGACTAATCCCGGGCATTAGGAACCTTGAGTATAGAGACAGGTTAAAGCATCTTAATTTGCACTCCCTTAAGAGACGTAGAACGAGGGGCGACCTGATAGAGGTGTATAAGTGGAAGACAGGGCTAAACAAAGGGGGCATTACTATGGTACTCAAACTATCCAACCAGGAGCGAACTCGTAACAATGGTTTTAAATTAGACAAATTTAGATTTAGGCGTGAAATAGGTAAACACTGGTTTGGAAACAGAGTAGTGGATGAATGGAACAAGTTACCAAATATCATCATTAACTCGAATACGCTGAACTGCTTCAAACATAGGTTGGATGCTTATATGAGCAACAGGGGTTGGGTGTAAACGGGACTGCCCAGTATGGGCCAATAGGCCCGCTGCAGTTTCCTCCATTTTTATGTTCTTATGTTCTTATGTGTGTGTGTGTGTGTGTGTGTGTGCTCCCAGATACTAAGACACGTTCACTAAATAACTTAAACACATAATTATTCATTCTTTGCTTTACCTCATTGCTTACAAGGAGGCGTCAACAGTGGGTCCAGAGAATGACTAATGAAAAACACGTGCTACTGAGAATTCCAATGATGTACAATGGCGTCTCAACCTGGCGAGAGAGAGAGAGAAAGAGGTAAATGTTAGTGTATTTTGTTGAGTCCAAGTTAATCCAGGTAGGTTAGTTGATGAGAGGTGGAGGGAGGGAGAAGAGGTTAATATAATCTGTGGTGTTTCATTTCTTCCTTGTCTGTCTGTCTGGATAACAAGGCGAAGCGGTTGACAAGGACTCTGGCATAATATATTTTTTCTTGGAAGCCAAATTTTACATCAACACTTGTGATTCCTATAAGCAGAGTTGATAACCTTGAAGTATCGTCATTCCACACCATCCTCACGACACTGACAACCAGACACAAGTTTTCATTGGGAGTTTACGTGTGTGTAGGGGGGTGTTGGAGGGTGTAAGGGATGTGTGTAGGGTGTAGGGATGTTGTAGTATGAGGGGGGGATGTTAAATTGTGATGTGTATGTGGGGGGGGGAGGGGTGTTAGAAGGGCGTACATGAGACGAGGAGAGAAAACATTCATTGTAGCTATACATCATCAACCTGGAGTACACCGAGTCATTATACTCTGGTAGTCGCCACACGTTGAACAAAAAATGTGATCATTAGGGCGACGCCTGTACCCTCGGCAAACAGATTTTTAGATTGCCTCCGAGTGAGCTAGTTTATTGGGCACCCCCCTTACATCCTGTGTATGTATCTAAGTGAGTCATTTAAGCCATGGTATAAAATAGCGACCTGAATAACTTAATAGAAACTAAACGCTGGGGAAGTGATTTAAGAAGATAGTTTAAAGTTAATCTAGAGCTTCGTGTGAGCTTGTGTTGGGTTTATAACTTTAATTTAATTTGGGTTTATAACAAGGACTAAGGTTCTGGTCAATAAGTACCCAGAAAATCACAGTACAAGGCTATAATAAGCACCGTCCTTCACACACACACACACACACACCCACACACACCACACACACACACACACACACATACACACACACACACACCCATACACACACACACACACACACACACACACACCCACCCACACACACACACACACACACACACACACACACACACACACACACACACACACACCCACACACCCACACACACACACACACACACACACACACACACACACACACACACACACACACCCACACACACACACACACACACACACACACACACACACCCACACACACACACACACACACACACACACACACCACACACACACACACCCACACACACACACATCACTTGAATATAGAAGTAACATTCGTGTTTTGTCGTCGATGTACAAACCAACTCGTGTGAAAGAGACGTGTTGGTGTTCTGATACAGTGCTCATCACGTTTGAGATGACTGTCACCACTGACCACCTGACTATTAACCCCCCCCACCCACCCACCCACCCACCCAGTTATTCCACCTGATGATGAAACAACCTAACCTAACCTAACCGCCCCAGAGAACGTAAGGGTGTTTATTCCTCAGGTGAAATAAGTTAGGGAGTTCAATCTTCAGGTGATCCAACAACTATTAAAATCTAAGAATATTCTTGTCATGACTGAAGCTATAATTTGCTTATATCCGGGTAAGGAGAAGAATTTCCGTGTGTACTCGTCAGCGGTTTACAGAGTGAGTGTCAGGTCTCAGTTTTGGGTCTCAGCGTCGGGGGTGAGAGTCGGGTGTGAACGTCGGGTGTGAACGTCGGATTAACGCCCACACAAGAAAGCATTCACCGAGTCTGTCTTTCTGGCTGTAACCAGTTCACCCTTACTTGACGGCGGGTAGCTTCCATAACGCTCCCGACAAGATGTGATAATTGCTCTACGATAATTTAACCAATAAATAATATAATAAATAATTGAATCTCGAAGCATTTAGTATAATTACCTACAATACTCAATTCAATACCTCTTACTTGTCGTTGGAGCCCAGTGATACATTATAACAAGGGGCTGTTTAGAAACCAAGGTTATTTGTGACGTCAGAGAGGGCTGTGATACCTGACAACACTACTGAACATCACATGGCAAAATGACACCTGACACCACGAAATGAAAAATAGATTGGTAATGATATAGAAGCTTGATGAGTGGGCCAGGTAGTTGAAGCTTGGTGAGTGGGCCAGGAAGTTGGAGCTTGATGAGTGGGCAAGGAAGTTGAAGCTTGGTGAGTGGGCAAGGAAGTTGAAGCTTGATGAGTGGGCCAGGAAGTTGGAGCTTGGTGAGTGGGCCAGGAAGTTGGAGCTAGATGAGTGGGCCAGGAAGTTGAAGCTTGATGAGTGGGCAAGGAAGTTGAAGCTTGATGAGTGGGCCAGGAAGTTGAAGCTTGATGAGTGGGCCAGGAAGTTGAAGCTTGATGAGTGGGCAGGAAGTTGAAGTGGAGCAAGTGAAGTTGAGCTTGAAGAGTGGGCAGGTTGTGCCAGGAAGTTGGGCTTGATGAGTGGGCAAGGAAGTCAAAGCTTGATGAGTGGGCCAGGTAGTTGAAGCCAGGTTTGAAGCTTGGTGAGTGGGCCAGGAAGTTGGAGCTTGATGAGTGGGCAAGGAAGTTGAAGCTTGGTGAGTGGGCAAGGAAGTTGAAGCTTGATGAGTGGGCCAGGAAGTTGGAGCTTGGTGAGTGGGCCAGGAAGTTGGAGCTAGATGAGTGGGCCAGGAAGTTGAAGCTTGATGAGTGGGCAAGGAAGTTGAAGCTTGATGAGTGGGCCAGGAAGTTGAAGCTTGATGAGTGGGCCAGGAAGTTGAAGCTTGATGAGTGGGCAGTTAACCCCAGCCCTAATCAGTCCTAGTCCTAATAGGCCCCAAACCTAACGTAACCTAATTTAACCTAACTTGCTTTTCTTCCTTGTTTAATAGGTTAGTTTGGTTTAGGTTAGGTTAGGTTAGGTTAGGTTAGGTTAGGTTAGGTTAGGTTAGGTTAGGTTAGGTTAGGTTAGGTTAGGTTTAAGTGTATCCATCGTACCGGGAAAAGAAAAACATACAGAGAATATCAGCAATTTATTCAACCACACACATCTACACTCCCGGTACGGTTCACAGGTGTACCGGGACCTCACAGAGACTCGACTACACACAAGACCTAGAGTTATGGAAGCTCTTGAGTCTCCCACACAGAAAGAAGCCATTTTGTTATATTGTGTTTCTTCGTCTCATTGGCTGGGATCTGGATATCCTCCGCCAATGATATCCAAGATGTCGTCTCATTGGCTGGGACCAGGATGTCCTCCGCCAATGATATCGAAGATGTCGTCTCATTGGCTGGGATCTGGATGTCCTCCGCCAATGAGATCGAAGATGGAATCCTTGTCTGCTTTAGCGTTGAGGGCCCAGCGTAATTCCGTTGAGTTCGGAGGCTCCAGCTCGAGAATGGGTATCGCAGTGTCGAGCATCCGGACGGCCCGGGTGAGGCCGTTCTCGTATTCTTCCGACGGCTTCCTCGACCCAGACGCCGCCAGGTGCAACACGGCCGCGTCCCTCTCCACCACAGCCGAGTTGTACAGCGACACACCTGGTAAACAAACACGTGTAGTTATTAATACGAGGGTTTGTGTTATACCAGCGTGTGTGTTTATACTTGTAAATTTATATTATACATTTATATTGTTTGTGTTTTAACGCCATAGTAACAGTAGAAAATTTGTAAACATAAGTACGATGATGCAAAGAGAGAGAGAGAAACAGTTCGGAATGATAATAACATTGGTTGGTATTATTCATGTAGTTAATTCGTGACGATAAATTTGATTATAAGAGACAGATTAGTTAACAGCACTTAGTGTCGGGGTCTTGTTTGACGACGTGAAGACCACCGAGATAAAAGGCACCAACAGGACGATTTGTTCTGAGTCAGGAGTGAAGGGGCTGACATTTAAGGCAGTCTAAGAATGGTATCTTACAGGGGCTAGGAAGGCTGACGAGTAAGGGTTAGGAGGGCTGACGTGTAAGGGTTAGGAGGGCTGACGTGTAAGGGCTAGGAGGGCTGACGTGTAAGGGTTAGGAGGGCTGACGTGTAAGGGTTAGGAGGGCTGACGTGTAAGGGTTAGGAGGGCTGACGTGTAAGGGCTAGGAGGGCTGACGTGTAAGGGTTAGGAGGGCTGACGTGTAAGGGCTTGGAGGGCTGACGTGTAAGGCTGAGGAAGCCGATGTACTGAGAGACAAAAAACTGTTGGAGGACTACGCCCAGGATATAGAACAACGCCTCACCTCGTCTCCTGGTAGACCCGGGCTCCAGCCGCTGGTACAGGTGGATCAGGCGGCGCCACAAGTCCCGTCGCAACATGAGGGATTGCATCGTGTGTTCCTTTGACAGCGTCGACATCGCCAACTGCACCGCCGTCAACCACGTGAAGTGGTTAACGTGGTAAGTGTTGGTGATCCTGTCCAATACTTTGCATATTTCGGTGAATGACGTACACTTATCCGCCAACTCCTTCACGTAATCTTCTGCTTCTTGTACAATGTCTGCCTCCGGGCGTGTTTCTCCACAGCCCGGGCAGGACCACGGAGCTCCAGGACCCTCATAAGGTTCCAGGAACCCCTCGCAGCAGTTGTGGCACCGCGGGTTGGAGAAATATGTGCCCAGCTCGGTCGGGTCTTTACACCGTACACAAGCACACTTAAAGTAGTAGATGCTGTGTAGGTCAGCTTGGCGACGCCAGACGGGGTCAGTAGGAGGCAGGTAACTGAAGAGTATTGGTTCCCCCTTCTTGATAGGTACAGCCGTACGCACGAACAGTGTCCGGTCGATATCTGAGCGAAGAGTCACGTTTGGTAAACACGAATGGTTCATCAGATACAGAGTCGGGTAAAGGCCACGGAGACTCTCCCCCTGAGCGCCATAAGTGTTGATAGCGTTAGTGATGATGGCACCGTGTACCTGGCGCGCTGTGTCCACGTCACAGTCAACATCAAGAACCTCAGTGAAGTACTTGATAGCTGCGACGTGGTGAGGTTCCTCGTCCTTTTCACGAAGCTCTGCGTGGCTGTCCATGCCCTTGATCAGCTCCCAGCCTGCCGGGTTTGACGAGCGAAGGAGTAAACATCGCAGCATCAGGATGATGTCATAACGGGGGGTCCTGATCAAACTAGTAGGAGGACCGATTTTCCTGGTGTCGGTGGCCAGGGCGCTGCACTCAGCCTGGTGGAGGGCGGTGCCGGCACAGGAGAGGGAGCAGAGTGGCCAAGTGCAGCTGGGGCAGCGGGGGTGGTCGTCGGTGGTGATGAAGGAGTGGCACCCCAGACACACGGGGAATGACTCCGCCTGGGGGCCAAGTATCAGTGGTTTCTCCCGCATCACCAGTTGACCTTCCTTCAGGTCACGTGTCGCCACCAAGTACCTGGTGACCAGAATGTATACTTCACTAGTATGACAACACTGACAGGGTCAAAAATGGTAACTCGAATTTTCATATTTTAAGAGAATAAATAGATTTAGTTTAACCCACCACTACCCACTTTAACTTACTGACCCACCATAACCCACCTACCTGCCAGACTGTGGGTCCTTAGCTTGAGCGACTGGCCAACACTCGTCCTTGTGCTTAGGCCAGTGTTGCCGCTGGTGCTCCCTGCTGCAGTAGTGTACGTTGCTGCAACCTCCGCACCGCAGGCTGGCCTCGGCCCCGCATTGACCGCACGTCCTGCTTCCCGCCATCACTTGCCTGCGGATACATATGCAGTTATAGGTGTTTTGTTATAAGACAACACCCACGACCCACCATCATCATACAGTCAAGATACTTGGGGAGGCCGAGCTCTCTATGTTTACTATACATTAACTCCTTCACCAAAGAATTGTTAGAATGTCTAATGATCATACATTATTCACTTTTCATTTACAAGGTCCTTATTCTTGTTTTATGTTTATATGTGACACCTGGACGCTGATTGGTGGTAAATTTAGTCACCTGAGAGCTTTTACTAACCTAACCAACTGGCTGGATTGTAATTTCCGTATCCCACGTAAATAATACAGTTGAGACATCCAAGTGGTTATAATACACACTTATAGGCACAACAGGTACACGAGATGGGTGGTACAGGGATGGTGATGGTGTTGACTGTTGAAAAGATTTTGATTCTTTGTTCATTTGTGAAGTTGATGAAGGAGAAGAGTTGAATGTCTCTATATACCACAACCTGAACACCGATGACACAACCATGAAAACGTGAAATTTAACAACTCATAAACAGAAACCTGAAATAAGAGGTGATCACACTTACCGGTGATGGGGTGGAACTCCTACAACGATAAATGCCGGTAAGACACTTAAGCCTACATCACACACTGCCCCATCACACACCGGCCACACATCACACACCTGCAGGCCCTACATCACACACCTGCAGAGCCCTACATCACACACCTGCAGAGCCCTACATCACACACCTAGGTCCTACATCACACACCTGCAGCCCCACATCACACACCTGCCCCACACATCACTGCCTGCGAGCCCTACATCACACACACTTGCAGCCCATCACTACACCTGCAGGCCCTACATCACACACCAGGCCCTACATCACCACACCTGCGAGCCCTGCCCTACATCACACACCCAGGCCCTACATCACACACCCATGGCCCTACATCACACACCTGTGGCCCTACATCACACACCCATGGCCACTACATCACACACCTCTGAGCCCTACATCACACACCTCATGGGCCCTACATCACACACCTGCAGGCCTTACATCACACACCCAGGCCTTACATCACACTGGCCTTACATCACACACCTACAGGCCCACCATCACACACCTACGAGTCTTACATCACACACCTACATCACACACCCCAGGCTACATCACACACCTGCAGCCTTACATCACACACCTGCAGCCCTACATCACACACCTGCAGGCCTTACATCACACACCTGCAGGCCCTACATCTACACCTACACCCGAGCCTTACATCACACACCTGCAGAGCCTTACATCACACACCTACGAGCCTTACATCACACCCTACAGCCCTACATCACACACCTGCAGGCCCTACATCACACACCTGCGAGCCCTACATCACACCTGCGAGCCCTACATCACACACCTTGAGCCTACATCACACACCTGCAGGCCCTACATCACACACCTGCAGCCTACATCCCCACACCTGAGTCCTACATCACACACCTACGAGCCCTACATCACACACAGCCCATCCTACATCACACACCTGCAGGCCTTACATCCACACACCTACGAGCCTACATCACACAACTACAGCCCTACATCACACACCTGTGAGCCCTACATCACACACCTGCGAGCCTACATACCCACACACACCTGAGCCTACATCACACACCTGGTGAGCACCTACATCACACACCTACAGGCAGCCCTACATCACACACCTGCGAGCCCTACATCACACACCTGCGAGCCCTACATCACACACCTGCGAGCCCTACATCACACACCTGCGAGCCCTACATCACACACCTGCGAGCCCTACATCACACACCTGCGAGCCCTACATCACACACCTGCGAGCCCATCACACACCTGCGAGCCCTACATCACACACCTACGAGCCCTACATCACACACCTGCGAGCCCTACATCACACACCTACGAGCCCTACATCACACACCTGCGAGCCCTACATCACACACCTGCGAGCCCTACATCACACCAGCATGACTGTTGAATCTCCTCGTGATAGACGATACAGACGATGAAATAAAGATAAATGAAATACAATACCAAGTGTCATCCAATGTTTGGCCTTCTCCTGTTTATCCTCTACAGTTCCTTGTCATTAACTTGGTTGTGAGTCGTCCTGTGGGTAGATGTGAGCCGACGGTACCAAGTGTACAGAGACAAGCAACTACAAAAAGTTAAACCTATCATTCCTCGCTCTTTACCTAGACACGTGTGAGTTGGTGACTGTTAGCAGCACTGAAGAAACCACATAAATTTTTACATTAGAAATACAAATGCAGAAATTGAGTGGAAAAATAAGAGAAGAAAGATGATGAGGTAAGTAGCTTGAGAGAGCAAACTGTCTTGTGATCATATAACCCACATGATGAGACCGATGCGACTATCATTCACTCAGACAGACAGTGTTAACTTCTGAACGCTGAATAAGGTCCTGGTTGAGCCACACTTAGGAATATACACGTGCAGTATGAACGACAGTCACGCCCCTGAGTGTGTTTAGAGAAATGCAACGAAGCTGATAACCGTATTTAGGATCCTGAGTTATGAAAACCAACTGAGAGCTAAATATTCCATGAGTGGTGTAGTGGAGACAATTATGGAGACGCCGATTGCAACACAGAACACCTCACGCTTGTTGAACCAGTCCAAACCAGAAGTCACTTTTAGTTATGTAGCACACGTCCACAACGCCCTCTGAGGCTGGACAACATATCAACGTGTACTGTGACGCCCTGGGTCGTTACATAGCTGGGAATATTTGCATTAGTAAGCCACTAGAGTCTAGACCATCTGATTAAGTCTCAATTGTTGTCCTGCAAGTGGGTGAAGCTCCAGACCCGACACCTTCGTCCAAGCTTAAGAGGCAACATTCAGGATCCCCGAGGTGGTAGTTTAGAACATATTACTGGTGAAGATCGCGTCTCTGCTCTCATTCCCACAGTTCCTTATCACACACACTACCAAGACGCTTACAATACTCTCACTTATAATGACAAATAAAGGACGAATATCTGAGGTTTACACCGTGCTTAAGGCTGGTCTGTGTTTACTTACCGGCACGAGTCTCGGTATGCCTTTATAGTAGTATTTCCTGGCCGTAGTACTGAGGTCCTTAAGGTGTAGTGGTGTACCCTGGATACAACGACACGACCTGGGTGTATTAACAAGCACTGGTATAATGAAGGAGGGTGAGGGAGACTATACTGTAAGCTGTTCACTCTGTCAGCCTCACGCCGCGGCACCACCAAAAATATAACCCGGGAAAGTTGCCACACGCCGCCACCTATCACTAAAATAACAAACTTGATTTTATTCTGATAATTATACCTGATACACCTTATATCTGATACGCCTTATACCTGACAACAATATTAATTAAAACATATATGATTTTTAACCTCCCTTTTATCTGGCTTTCTCTGTCTCTCTTCTTTATCTCTTCTCTCTCTATCTCACCCTCCTCCCCTCCCATACCAGCCCTGAGAACACGTGTGCCGGGTGCCAGTGTTATCAAGACTGCCGGAATCATCTAGAAATTTCTATTATTAAATGTTTTGACTTTGGTTGCACCCTGTTGATGACACGAGGAGTTATCTTACCTAACTGGTGAATGACACGGACAATTCTACTTTATTTATATCTCATTATAACAAGAAATTTAGTGATTCTATTCTCAAACACAGGAAGTATTAAGACCCCCGAAAAAGAAAAACGTTTGTAGAAAGAGAAAATGGAATCCCACTCTCACATCGGCAAACAAGAATTTATAGCTAGACTGCGATAAATTTCCTTTTTTAATAATTATTCTTCCATGAACGATTATTATAGGTGAGGGGGGGAGGGGGTGGCGTGAGGCCATGGGGGAGGGGGGCGTGAGGCCATGGGGGGGGAGGGCGGGGGGCGTGAGGCCATGGGGGAGGTGGGAGGGGGGCGTGAGGGGGGAGGGCGTGAGCCATGGGGAGGGGAGGGGGGCGTGAGGGGGCCCATGGGGAGGTGAGGCCATGGGGGAGGCGTGAGGCCATGGGGAGGGGGCGTGAGGCCATGGCCATGGGATATTTGTGAGGCCATTTAAAAAATATATATTTTTTTTCTCTCTAACAGTAGTAATTTTCTCTCATGGTCTATCTATCAGCTCCTGCCTTCCATCATGCCGGACAAACACATTACACCATTATAGGTTATCTACTTTCACCTCCAGTCCCATTTTTCAATTCCAGAGTTGGGCGAGATGGTCTTTTCACTGTATTGCATAACATAATAGGCAGTCGGTAGGTACCAAACAGGGAGGTACTACCGCCTGGGAAGATATTGGAAGCATAATGTGTTGTCTAATGGTGGACCCTGCTGCCATATGTGACCAAGTCCCAGGTTGATGATCTGACTTTCTGCCTCATTTACACACAGTTGCTGGGTCTCAATTGTTTCTCTTACTATTGACAACACAACATACATACTGTATATTGTTTCTCACTGTGTTTTGTTTTTCATTTTTGTATTTTGTTATTATTATTATTAATTATTATTATTAATTATTTATTATTAATTATTTATTATTATTATTATTATTATTATTATTATTATTATTATTATTATTATTATTATAATAATAATAATAATAATCCCCCAAGGCCCCGGTGTGGATCAGTGACCTGTGCCCGGGTGGGCTAATCCCCCATAAAAAAAAATATAAATAAATAAACTACCTGTTTATTTTGATAACTTTTACTATATATTAATAATTGATTATAATGTGTGTACTCGTGATAACTTTGGGCGTTGAGATATAATAGCTAGCGACCCGGTCGGTCAGTGACGAAGAGGATAAAGTAAAGTATTTGAAAGGAAATTCTGAACAGGTTTTTAATGAATGTCATAAGGTAACTAACTCAACAGGTGTCTTCATTGATTCAGGTTGTATGATTCAGGTTTTGAAGAGGAATAGAAGTAACGAAACTTTAATGTTGTCTTCAGGCTTACAGGTGGAGTATAGTTCACCTGAGGAAATAACTGTAAACTACTCTTGAGGTTGTCGTAAGACACCATAGAAAACTAATATGACTCATAAATGTGTATCAAAGAAAACGTAAACTTGGTTAATGAGGGGATAACTTCAGTAGATTGTGAAATTATATCAAACACTTGTAGAAGAGCTAAATTTTTCTCTTTCTTAATAACGCTACGTCATAAACTATTCTGTATTAGTATTGGAAAAAATAAACAATTGAGGAATACTAAACCATAAATTGCTCGGCGCTACTCGTACGCCATCAACACCCTGATTCAACTTGTGAGGGATCGTGTCCGTCCTCGAGGTGCAACTTCGGGAGCGAGTTATGATAACTGTAATTCCCTCATCTGTATCTGGTTATCCTTCGGCTCGATCACAGGGAGGACTGAAGTAGGCGGTGGGACCATCCCAAGGTCATGGATCACTTTTGCGACTGCCTCCATTGCCATAAGGTACCATTTGATCTCGGTGGACCTCGGAGGCTCTAATCTGAGTATACATATCGCCTCCTGTAGGTGGTTTAGTGCCTGTTGCAGCTGTAGTTTGAAGAAGTATTCCGTAAGGACCTCATCTTGGTTCTCAGCCCTGGCCACTTCTGCTTCGGCGACGCCCAGCTGGTACAGCGTCACCCCTGTAACATACATGGTGTGAGCTATGTAACCACACCCAGGCATAGTACAAGCCCAGTTGGTGGCTAGAACTAGGGACAGATCCTGACTAAGACTAGAACTATGGGTAGGTCCTGACTAAGGCTAGAACTAGGGGTAGGTCCTGACTAAGGCTAGAACTAGGGGTGGGTCCTGACTAAGGCTAGAACTAGGGGTAGGTCCTGACTAAGGCTAGAACTAGGGGTGGGTCCTGACTAAGGCTAGAACTAGGGGTAGGTCCTGACTAAGGCTAGAACTAGGGGTGGGTCCTGACTAAGGCTAGAACTAGGGGTAGGTCCTGACTAAGATTAGAGTTTGGGATGGGTCCTGAGTAAGACTGGGGATGTCATATGCTAACTTATATGATTCAAACCTAAAACATTTGTAGAGGCAGGTCATTGACTCAAACTCCAGGATATTCTAATCTTGTCTCTCATCAACACACCGGCAGAGTCACCTTAGACCAGCCTTACGATTCATAACATAAGTAACTGATCAAAGTCTGAAACGTTAATGACAAGATATGATGTCGTTTACGATGGACTCACGCAGCTCCAATATCATCTAAAGTCACACCACGCAAACAGTAGTACGTGTAAGGACTTGCTTGCGGTCACACACGGGTAGATAATACTGAACTCACAGATTCTCAAAGGTTCGTAACACATTCTCTCCCTTTAAAGAGCTCTCAGTGAACGCATCAGGTTACGCTTGGCTGACAGTCGTGTTTGTTTCATAATTTAAGTGAATCATTATGTGTTATCAGGTTTCCGCTTAAGAGTAAAAATCTTAACCTTACCTTTGAAAATACGAGTTCAGGTATCTCGTTGACCCCTCGCCAATATTATGACATAATTACTGTGTGTTTTAATAGAGTAATTATGGTCGTTATTGACTTAGAAAATATCTTAATATGAGTAAGAGCTTTGTGGTCTATTTACCGCCAAAAGTTACCGTGATTATTGGTTTATTTATGTTAATATATCTAATGAATACAGTTATATATATTTATGTATACATATATATACAGGGTATATGTAACTTAATTTATATATAAATCTATATATATGCTTATATATGTATATATACTGTAGTCATGGATAGAGAGAGTGAGATCAAGAGAGACAGACGAACAGACAGGTGTACAGGTCGACAGAATGACGGACATGATCAAGATAAATTACATTAGTAAGAAGACTCCTGCATGTCCCCTGTGGTCTGCACGGGTAATAACCATCTCGACCTTTTATAACACTATTACAGTAATACTTACGGCACCTTCGTCAGCTCTCCGTCAGCAGCTGTCACGCTTCTCGGAGCTGTAAGAGACGCGTGGAAGACCTTGTTAGGGACCCTGAAGATTATACTGGAGGAAGGAGGGTAGCCAGCTAGGGTGTGAGAGGGTATCTACAGAATCTGGAATGTGGGAGGGTAGCCAGCTAGGGTGTGAGAGGGTATCTACAGAATCTGGAATGTGGGAGGGTAGCCAGCTGGGGTGTGAGAGGGTATCTACAGAATCTGGAATGTGGGAGGGTAGCCAGCTGGGGTGTGAGAGGGTATCTACAGAATCTGGAATGTGGGAGGGTAGCCAGCTGGGGTGTGAGAGGTATCTACAGAATCTGGAATGTGGGAGGGCAGCCAGCTGGGGTGTGAATCTACAGAATCTGAATGTGGGAGGTAGCCAGCTGGGTGTGAAATCTGGAATGGGAGGGTAGCCAGCTAGGGTGTGAGAGGGTCTGAATCTGAATGTGGGAGGGTAGCCAGCTGGGGTGTGAGAGGTTCAGAATCTGGAATGTGGGAGGGTAGCCAGCTGGGGTGTGAAAGGGCATCTACAGAATCTGGAATGTGGGAGGGTAGCCAGCTAGGGTGTGAGAGGGTATCTACAGAATCTGGAATGTGGGAGGGTAGCCAGCCAGAAGTCTGGGGGGGGTGAGGGTGTGAGCTACAGAATCTGGAATGTGGGAGAGGTAGCCACTAAGGGTGTGAGAATATCACAGAATCTGGAATGTGGGAGGTAGCCAGCTAGGGTGTGAGAGGGTATCTACAGAATCTGGAATGTGGGAGGGTAGCCAGCTGGGGTGTGCAGGGCATCTACAGAATCTGGAATGTGGGAGGTAGCCAGCTAGCCAGCTGGGTGTGTGAATCTGGAGTGGGAGGGAATATCTACAGAATCTGGAATGTGGGAGGAATGTGGAGCCAGCTGGGGTGTGAGAATGTGGGAGGAGTAGCCAGCTAGGTGTGAGAGGGTATCTAGAATCTGGAATGTGGGAGGGTAGCCAGCTGGTGTGAAAGGGTATCTACAGAATCTGGGGTGTGGGGTGTGAGAGGGTATCTACAGAATCTGGAATGTGGGAGGGTAGCCAGCTGGGGTGTGAGAGGGTATCTACAGAATCTGGAATGTGGGAGGGTAGCCAGCTGGGGTGTGAGAGGGTATCTACAGAATCTGGAATGTGGGAGGGTAGCCAGCTGGGGTGTGAGAGGGTATCTACAGAATCTGGAATGTGGGAGGGTAGCGACGTATGGGGAGACACATATGAAGGAGAGAGAGAGCCAAGCTGTAAAGAATATTAAACTTTGAATGGTAATTCTTAATGTTTTATGACAATGATTTACTATCATTTTACTGAGACAAGATATGACGGTCATTTGACAGCCCTTGTAAGCCGCGTCAGAGGATAAAGATCTCCAGGGGGATGGAGGGGGACGAGTGACCTTATTAACACGTAACCTTTGACGCCAGCCCCAGGGTTGTGATGCTTGCAGTGTTTTGTGTACAAGGGTGTGTGAATAAGCCAGTGTAGTGAGTATGAGGGCGAGGTGTAGGGGACAGGGTAAGTAGTGGGACCAGTGTGTGGACAGCACCTCGTCGTTTGGTTAGTCCTGGCTCCAGCGTGTCGTAAATGTGCAAGAGTTTCCTCCATAGGTTCCGTTTGAGGATGAGGCCCGCCCTGGAGGTATTCTTCTGCAGCGTCCTGATGGCCACATGCGCCGCCAGGACCCACACGTGGTGCTGAGAGTGGAAAGCTTCTTCCACTTTGTCTAGGATACTCTTGACAGCGTATGGGGTGGCATGGAGGAAGGTGTCATCACTCTCAAAGCGGCCGAGCCACTGTTCCACCTCCTGACGAATGTCAAGTTCCGGCTTTCTCTCCCCACACACGGGACACTCCCACTTCATCTCCCCCAGCCACGTCGTCGCCTCCAGGTACTGCTGCATACACTTCTCGCACCTGGGGGAGGAGTAGTGAAGACCAAGCTCTGTGGGATCGCTGCAGCGAACACAGTCACAGGTGAAGAAGTGGACCTCACTGGTGTAGGCTCGTCTCTCCCACAGAGGCTGCGTCGTGCCCGTGTAGGTGTTAAAGAGCTGGTCGCCACGCTGCATATCTGCTGCTGCCAGCACAGACATTGTTCCCTCACAGTCACAATTCATGGTGACGGTGGGGCGGCAGGAGTGGTTCATGCGGGCCAGCTGTGGATAGACGCCACGGAGGCTCACTCCTGAAGAACTCCGCCACTCAAAGCAGTTAGTGATGATGGCGCCGCGGGCATGATTGATCTCCTCCACACTGTAATCTACTTTGAGTATTTCTTTGATGTATCGAACTGTAGCCATGTGGTGCTGGTCCTTGTTCTGCAGGCGTCGCTGAGCGTGGCTGGCCATGTCCAGGAGGCGGCCCCACGCTGGGGGGTCTTTGCGCCGTAGGAGGAGACAACGGAGCACAAGAATAATATCATACCGGGGTGTGCTGCCGGCGGCTATTGGCTGGCCCACCCTCTTGGTGTCGACGGCCAGTATGGGGCACTCTGCCTGGTGGAGGCTGCTGGTGACGCAGTCGGAGGAACATAACGGCCACCAGCACGAGGGACAGCGGGGAAACTCTGTGCCGGGGATCAGTTCATGACACCCGAGGCAGACGAGGGGGGAGGTGGCGCGGGGACCCACAGCTATGGGCGATTCTTTCAGCAGCAGCTCACCAGCCTGCACATCCCGCGAGGTCGCCAGGAACCTGCAGGAAAACGAAGAAAAGTGAAAATTGAGGCAAAACATCTTGAGAGGCTTGCAACGATGACTCGTACACGCAAACCCAGCATGAGCAACCAACAGTTCCTCGTACACCTCCCCACCCTGCAGTGACACGCTTATGGAGACTACGCCAGACAAAAGTCCGCCCTCATTTTACCTCCAGTAACGCCCGTTAATGGCACAAACTCTCCCTCACCAACACACCTGCCAGCCGCTGGGTCGGTCTGCTCGATGACGGGGTGACAGCAGCGTCTGTGATCCTCCCAGTGGTGGCGGAGGTGTTCGCTACTGCAGTAGTGACTCCCGTAGCAGACACTGCAGGACACTGTTGCCTCACCCCCACACACCTCACACGCCTTCTTCAGTACCATATTGTGGGAGAGGGAGAAAGAGTGTTCCCAACCTAGAAGTAATGGAAAGAAAGTTTATGTCGTGATTGTCTTAGCGTCGTAACATTTTCACCATAACAGTAAGCCAATAATAACACTTAAAGAACAATAATGGTGATGCCTGTGTCCATACAACCAGAAATGTCAGAAGTAGGAGCCCAGTGGACCTTACACCCGTAAAGCCACACTGCCTGTTACCGAGTTAATCCTCTCATAAGTGAACCAAGATGACCTCAGGTGTCGTAGAAACCCCTCCTCAACGGTCTGTTTTTCCTGATATCAAAGCAAATGACAGACAGCGAACCTCCACCCAGTGTTTTTGACTAAGTCTACGGGTAAAAACTAATCACCTTGACCTGTGATCCATTTAGTATGTGGCCTCTTAACAGCCAGTCTTGGTGGTAATAGCTTCTCTATCACCACCTGGACCTCGACAGCCACAACCAATCAAGACCTCCTCCCATACGTCCTGGTTCAACATACATAACCAGTGACTCTTCAAATCAGCTTCCTCGTGTACTTGTCTTACGGAACATCTGAAGATTAGGCACCCCAGATTATTTTAACTGGGATGATTAAACACCTTAATCCAATCTGGGGAGTTAGGTTAGGTTAGAGTTAGGGTGGTCAATGTTAAGGTGATATAAGTTAGGTTAGGTTAGGTTAGGTTAGGTTAGAGTTAGGGTGGTCAATGTTAAGGTGATATAAGCTAGGTTAGGTTAGGTTAGGTTAGGTTAGGTTAGGTTAGGTTAGGTTAGAGTTAGGGTGGTCAATGTTACGGTGATATAAGCTAGGTTAGGTTAGGTTAGGTTAGGTTAGGTTAGGCTAGGCTAGAGTTAGGTTAGGTTAGAGTTAGGGTGGTCAATCTTAAGGTGATATAAGCTAGGGTGCCTAATCTGCATATGAGTTGTGAGACGTAAACTATTTATTTAAGGAAGTTGTGGGCGAGAATGTGCTTGCTTCACCCCGTGCTTGACAACAGTGCCCCTCCTCCACACACCTGTTGTTGTCATATTTAATCCCGTTTTCTGTGGTTCTTACGCTCGGGTTTTTTTTTTCTGTAGTTATGGTCTCGTTTTCTGATAAGAGAACACGCCAAACTATAACAAAATCGGTGAACTTTCCTTACCATTTTGTTCATCATATTTTTCCTATGAAAACCATGTGTGTTCTCAGAATTTTGCTGCGCGAGGGGGCTAGTTTATTGGGCACCCCCTTACATCTTGTGCAAGGTGAAGCGCAAAAGCGTTTACAGCGCCCATCTGGGAAGCATGCGTAGTTCATGCTTGCCTTCATGACTCATGCATTAAGGGCGTAAAAGCCTGAAGGGTCATGGGTTTTGTCAGCAAGTTACATGAAGTGACAGAATGATGAGTGTGTGGGGGGAAATTCCTGGTACAATTCATCTGTTTATAACAAAGCGTGGCAGGTCCCTAGCGCCAGGCCTGTCTCTAGGAGGAGGGATATCTGGTCAGGGAGGAAAGAAGTGTTGGTAACAGCTGGGGAACTCATCTCGCTAAATTAGGGGAAATATCGACCCTACGAACCTTTTGAGATTCCAAACCCACAATGATGATATTTCTATAATATTTCCCTTATCTTGTATTCTCAGCCTCACTTCTTCACTTCCTTCCCTCACACTGCCCCCTCACACTGCCCCTTTACCCCTCACACTTTCCCCTACACCCTCCACACTGCCCCTCCACTCCCTCACACTGCCCCTTTACCCCTCACACTTCCCCTACACCCTCCACACTGCCCTCCACCCCTCACACTGCCCCTTTACCCCTCACACTGCCCCTCACCCCCACTTCCCTCCCACACTGCCCCTCCACTCCCTCACACTGCCCCTTTACCCCCACACACTGCCCCTTACCCCTCCCTGCCTCCCTCCACTGCCCCTTTACCTCACACCTGCCCCTTTACCCCTTACACTTTCCCCTCCACACTGCCCCTCACCTCCACACTGCCCTCCACCCCCACACTGCCCCTACACCCTCCACTGCCCTCCACTCCCTCACACTGCCCCTACACCTCCACACTGCCCCCTCCACCCCTCACACACTGCCCCTACACCCCCCCACCGCCCCCCTTCACCCTCCACACTGCCCCTCCCCACTCCCCTCACACTGCCCCTACACCCCTCCACACTGCCCCTTCCTCCACACTGCCCCCTCCACTCCCCTCACACTGCCCCTCACCCTCCACACTGCCCCTTCCCTTCCACACTGCCCCCCTCCCTCACCTGCCTACACCTCCACCGCCCACCCTCCACTCACCCCCTGCCCCTGCCCCCTCCACTCCCTCACACTGCCCCTCACCTCCACACTGCCCCTTCACCCTCACCTTCACCCCTGCCCCTCCACCCTCAAACTGCCCCTCACCTCCACACTGCCCCTCCACCTCACCTGCCCCTACACCTCCACACCTGCCCCTTCACCCTCCACACTACCCCTTCACCCTCCACACTGCCCCTCCACTCCCTCATACTGCCCCCTTCACCCTCCACACTGCCCCTCCACTCCCTCACACTGTCCCTTTACCCCCGGACATCGTATAATTATATAGGCCAGTCTTAATAACTATAATCCATCAACTCCTCTAACACAGGGAAAGAATAGGGAAAGTATAAACACTGAGGGAAAATATGAAAAAGAAAAATTATGAAAAACACGGAAATATGAATCAGTTTCAGCGCCTGAGAACTTGGCACGCTCGGGGTTGTACTCACTTCCCATATGTTAAAAAAAGTGAAAATATATATACAATAATCTCTTTACTCTTACCTTAATCTCCCAAGAATGATGGAGGTGCCAGGCAATGTGTGTTGAACCTACAGACAGCTGGTGTAGTAGTTAATTAACGTAGGGAGATGTAAATAGAGGAGAGAGGTTATAAGACGTGACCCACAACGTTCGCTTGCCTGAGACTGACTGACCATCGCGTTCCCCTTCACCCCTTCATATATATAACGCTTTTAGGCTACCATGAATCTATTTAATATCCTTTAGGCATGAAAGATGGAAATGGTTATTCTCTATTTCTTTAGTCTAGAAGGGAAACTTAAGCTTTAGCGGATACAAATGTTGGTTTTAGGAAGGTTGAAGTCGAGGATGTGAGAGCAGGAAGGGGCGTTTAGTTGTTTTGACGTGAGTGATGGTAGTGGTGGCCTGAGCGGGGCGTGACAGCTGTTGGTCCGGGAGGTTTTGATGCTTTACCTCCTCCTCTCTCTCTCTCTCTCTCTCTCTCTCTCTCTCGTTTCGGCCTTGCGTAAACACAACCGATTTGGTCTTGCCTACACAGCAGAGTACACACCAGAGGACTCTTTATACAGTACACTAGAGACCTTGAGTACACAGCCACTACACCTTATGACTTGTGCACCACCCGGCTTGTATAGAATTACAATGCAACGCGTGTTCGATCTCCTACTGTTATTCATCACGTGTACTCATAACATCTCCAAGACAGAACTTGATCTCTTTGTACCCACATCCTCACCCACTCGGCCTTTAGTAAAGTAGGCCAGTGTACAGAAGAGGTTGAAGGCTAGGGACGCTACTAATTATATTCAGGGAGTGTGGCGCGCTAGTCTATGATACTCAGAGCTAGTGATGCCACTGCATAGACTCAAACCTAATAACTACACTACTTCTACTCAGTTTTGGTTAAAAGACTTGAACTACCGTATTTAATTAAAAAATATATATATTTTCCTAATACTGATGATTTTTCTTCATAGTTTTTCTACGTTTTATTTGTCACCATCAGTACGATATCTTTAACCGGTCAACGTTGGCTGTTCTCAGTGCTGGCGGGCGTGTGATGTGTTAGGGAGAGCAGATGAGCTATAACACAACTCATAAAACCGTTGTATTGGCAGACAAATTTTTATAAACAATTCTTTCGTGTTGCAAATAAAACATAGTTTCTTTCCTTCAAATAATTATATATTTCTAGTAATGTAATTCTATGACGTCGCAGAATTTTAAGTTGATGTTTAGGTTTCCAATAAAATTTCAATGTTTAAAAGACCAGATTCATGATGACACGAAACAAAAGTTACATATTTCGGTAAGATAAGGATTGTGTATTTTTTTTTCTATTCTTAAATATTACTCATTGTCAACTTATAGGAAAATAATTATAAAAAATTTATATTATTCTTTAATTTCAGTGTTGAATCCATATAGGAACATAATGGTGTACAAATTATATAGAAGTCACCCAAAAATATTAAAGTTAGTCGAAAATCACCATTGCTTTACTTCCATATTAACATACAGGAATATAGCGATATAAAACATATATACTGCTCTTTTTATATCAGTGTTCAAAATCATACAGCATTATAACAGAAGAAAATACACTCTTAATTCCTGTTTCCTTTACACCCCGTTTTCTTTGAGTCACTGTTACTATCGTCTTAATTATATAGCAAAAATGAGTCATTGTTTTGCGTAGTTGTGTAGTGAGTGACCTTGATGCTTGTATACGGAAATAGGTTTAAGTTAGTGGGGCGAGCATTAGCAACTGGCCCCGAAGGTGATCCTGCCAAGTGTGATAAATGTATGTGTTAGTTATGAACATTTGTGGACAGTGTTGGTTTGGCTCTCTCTCTCTCTCTCTCTCTCTCTCTCTCTCTCTCTCTCTCTCTACCTCTTCAATTTATTATTCTTTTTATTTATTTTTTATTTTTCTTCATTTTTCCCTCTTTTTTCTTTACCTTTTCGTTTTTCTTTAATATTATTTGTTTTTTCAATTTTCTCGTTTTATTTTGCGTTTGTCTATTTCTGGATCGTCAGTTCCTTCAGGTTGTGGTGCCGGAAGTGACGTCATTCACATCACATCAATGAATAGTATTATGTCTTCCCCCTAATGTACTACGTCATTCAGTCCCGGCGTCACGTTATGAAATATTTTGGCACTTTTATTCGATAACTTGGCACTCTCTATCTCGTAGCTTGGCACCTTCTGTAGTGTCTTGGTACTTTGTGGAGTTCATGTGGCACTTTCTGAAGTTTTGTGGCGTGTGTTTAAACCTAACCTAACCTAACCTAACCTAAACTAACGTAAACTAACGTAACCTAAACTAACGTAACGTAACCCTAACGTAACCTAACCTCACCTAATCTTCTATGAATATACATTAAAGTGAGAGAGAGAGAGAGAGAGAGAGAGAGAGAGAGAGAGAGAGAGAGAGAGGTAAGATACGAAGAGAAATGAACAATAAATCAGGGTTAAAAAAGGTAATGTTTTTGTATGACATTAAAATATCTTTTATGGCCTTGGCTCTGTGAGTGTTTGTGTTCTCACTCTTGATGTGTAGAGGTGAGAGAGAGAGAGAGAGAGAGAGAGAGAGAGAGAGAGAGAGAGAGAGAGAGAGAGAGAGAGAGAGAGAAACATAGATCTCTCTCTCTCTCTCTCTCTCTCTCTCTCTCTCTCTCTCTCTCTCTCTCTCAGCAAAAATCAACACTGAACATGTTAAGTCGTGTGTTATGTATATTAACCAGTTGTTGGTCTCTGCCAAGGGGTCGTACTCTCACCAAGGTTTGACCAAGAGGGTGTTCATCTAACCTATCTGTCCCTCCCTCCCTCCCTCCCCCTTTCACCTCCCCCTCCCCTTCACCTCCTCCCTCCCTCCCCCTCCCTCCCCCTTCACCCTCCCCTCCTTTCTTCACCTCCCTCCCTCCCCTTCTCACCCTCCCTCCCCCTTCACCTTCCTTCCCCTTCTCACCCTCCTCCCTCCCCTTCTCACCCTCCCTCCCCTTCCCCTCCCCCTTCACACCCCTCCCTCCCCTTCACCCTCCCTCCCCCTCCCTCCCTCCCTCCCTCCACCCCCTGGCAGTGTTATAAAGTATGGAGAGTGGAGAACGTTGTGGGTTGTCTACTCCCGGTGTCTGAGAGGTTCCACATTCTGGTTATTTGTGCCTCGTCCCTCGCCGCCAACCTCCTCGCTCACATACCTCAGTTTCCTCTGTCCTAGCTCCGTCATCTCAGCTCTTGGATGCCTGAGTTTCCCGTCCTAGCTCCGTCCCTCTCAGCTCTCTTGGATGCCTGAGTTTCCCTGTCCTAGCTCCGTCCCTCTCAGCTCTCTTGATGCCCGAGTTTCCCCTGTCCCAGTCTCGTCCCTCCTCAGCCTCTTGATGCCTCAGTTTCCTCTGTCCTAGCTCCGTCATCTCAGCTCTCTTGGATGCCTGAGTTTCCCCTGTCCTAGCTCCGTCCTCTCAGCTCTCTTGGATGCCTGAGTTTCCCCTGTCCTAGCTCCGTCCTCTCAGCTCTCTTGGATGCCTGAGTTTCCCCTGTCCTAGCTCCGTCCTCTCAGCTCTCTTGGATGCCTGAGTTTCCCCTTGCCTAGCTCCCTATTCCTTCTGTTCTATCCCTCATCTAGATACCTACCTCACTTCCCCCTATCCTAGCTCTGAGCCTCGACATTCCGCAATCTCCCCTTCATTTCCGCCTCCTTCCTCTCACCCCCTCCCCCTTCTACCCCTCCTTCCCCCCCCTCCCCTTTTAGGTCATCAAACACAGTCACAGAATTGAACCATTTATTAGGTTTTTTCATTTAATTGACAAAAAAAATTAAATTGTCCAGTAAATAATAAATCTTCGTTCTCAAAAAAAAACTCGATTTTATTTTAAAGTCAAGTAAAAAATACATTAAAATAAATATGTTAAAATAGCGAAGAAAAAAAATTTATTATTAGTTCATTAATCCTAAACTTCATTTTTTTTCATTATAATTGTTTGTTTGTTTACTTGTTTACATGGAGCTATGATAAGTTAATATTTATTTTAGTATAGAAAATCTGCCATCTCACCTAAGGGGCCTATCAAACTGAACAACGGCGACTGTCTCAATGGTCCCCAGTCCTTACACGTACTGTACTTGAAAACGGACCTATTGTGACATGTTCTTGGTTGAGTGTCGTCTGTAGTCTAACTCTTCAATGGTTACGGATATTATGATGATAACAGCAAAAATGTATCCAGGTCACAGGTCAGAGGTCACAACTGCATATCAGAAGTCACAACTGCAGATAAGAGGTCACAACTGCAGGTCAGAGGTCACAGCTACTGGTCAGAGGTCACAGCCACATGTCAGATATCACAGCTAAAGGTTAGAGGTCATAGCTTCTGGTCAGAGGTCACAGCTACAGGTCAGAGGTCACAGCTACAGGTTAGAGGTCACAGGTACAGGTCAGCGGTTACAGCTACAGGTCAGAGGTCACAGCTACAGGTCAGAGGTCACAGCTACAGATTAGAGGTCACAGTTACTGGTCAGAGCTACAGGTCGGAGGTCACAGCTACAGGTCAGAAGTCACAGATATAGGTCAAAGGTTGTAAGAGCGCTAAATCTAACATGTACAGTGACACTCTTAATATTAAGCTTTAAGAAGAAGTTAGATACTCCCGATGCCTTAACACTGTTGGTCAATATTATGTTCTTTTGGTCTTCACGTCTCTGTCAGTAGTCTAGAAGCTGTCCAGTTAAATAAGACCTTTACGAGGACGCGCATCAAGCTGTAGTCTTGATCTTTGCAAAATGGGGAAAAAATAAGTGTACTTAATGTATATCAAAGTCAGAGATCCTTTCATCACACCGACACTGTTGATGAAACACGTGGAATAATGTTGTGAGGATAACACGTCTAAGAGGGTCGTCGATGGCGGAACTCTCTCCCTCTCTCTCTCTCTCTCTCTCTCTCTCTCTCTCTCTCTCTCTCTCTCTCTCTCTCTCTCTCTCTCTCTCTCTCTCTCTCTCTCTCTCTCTCTCTCTCTCTCTCACTCAGCCCGCACTGTCTCAGAATCCAGACGCTGTAGGAACTGCTCAGCCTCTGCCTTCACCTCCTCTGTCTTCTGCACCATTGCCGGCCCTTTAGACTCCGTCGGCTCCATGCTCAGGATCTGCGACGCCTCATCCAGGTACTTGACAACCGTCCTCACTCGCTCCAGGAGCTCGGGCATGAAGGGTTCACCCTCTCTATGCTCCAGCTGCGCCGCCCTCAGCATGATAATCCCCGTCTCCAGCAGCGACATACCTATAGAGGAGGACAAGTTTCTTCAGCAGTGCAAGTAATGGATGTCTTTCTAAGTTATCCCTCCACCTGAGAGAAGAAGAAAACGGACAATGCTAACTCTTGGCCAAAATCCTTATATAAATTTCCCTTGGAGTGATTTTTTTTTGTTTATGAATATTGTTTAAGAGTGTTATTCATCTCTATGACTTCTATAATCTATAGTGTATAAAATTAAAGGGGGGTTACTACAGGGCCCTTGTGAGAGTCTCGGGGCTCAAGGGATCACCTCCTGAACTATAACGTTTACAAACTAACTCGCTATATAAAGATTATTTTAACCGCAGACTATTATAAAGAAACGTTCTCTTGTCTCTCGTCACTGCTCACACAACACGCTTCTCCGTGTGTTTTATAGAAGCCTAGTGAGAGACGAGGCTTCTACTGAGACTTCTACTGAGACTCTGTATGCTAAGAAAAAAATATATTTCATCTTTATTAGATCTTATTAGACAGTTAATAAATGTTCCTCAATCATGAGGTTATCTATTAATAGATTTACGTTCTTTGCTCGTGTCTGGGGCAAGAATGTAAGTTACGGTTATGTCAGTTAGGTGGACTTAGACCAGCGCTGGTTATCCTGTACTGTACTGTACTGTACTGTGCTGTGCTGTGCTGTGCTGTGCTGTACTGTGCTGTGCTGTACTGTGCTGTAATGTACTGTGCTGTACTGTACTGTACTGTACTGTACTGTACTGTACTGTACTGTACTGTACTGTACTGTGCTGTGCTGTACTGTACAGTACTGTACTGTACTGTACTGTACAGTACTGTACTGTACTGTACTGTACTGTACTGGGAGAAATGGTTGTGATGTTGGACGTGTTGCCTAAATGGTGTGTTTAATTGTGTATGGGACATTAATTGTTACAAGAGAGGACCTCAGTTAGCACCAAGAAACGTGTTGTTTTGTTTTTATTCTGTAATAGATAAAATAATCGAAATCTGAAATAAACTGTGAGACAAATCTGAAATCTGTGATGATCGTTTCATGTTAGGTTTGTTCACACGCTGTCTCAACTCTGCCTCCGCTCGTCTGCCATGATACAATAGGGCTTACGACTTTGTACCCCCAGAGTCAACCATCTCGACAGTCTGTGTGCGTTTACTAATGAATATATTATATCTGCAATATTCAGGTGTATTTAGATTTACCTGAACCAGTAAGTTAGAAGATAGTTTATTAGAACAAGAGGAGGTGGAGGAGGGTGTACTTAGTCTACCATGAAGACACTGGACTCTGTCATCTGAGGTCCGGTGAACTGCAGGGGAAGCGTCAACTCTTCACTAAACTATCACTACTGTCAACAAGTGTATCTGTAAACTGACTGACCTCTTCCCGCGAGCTTTCCTTTACTGGTCTGGGAGACAACCTGTCGGAAGTGAAAAATTCCGAGTGGAAATAAAAACCAACACAACTAGAGGGAATATAGCGATGACACGGCGTCGTCTTCCTCGTCATCGTCACCCAGGATCCTCACCTCGTCTCTTGGTGAGGCCAGGCTCGAGTACGGTGTACAGAGCCACGAGTCTCTTCCAGATTTTAATCCGCATGTTCAGTCCCTGTTCTGTGTTGTTGTCGCTCATTCGGTACAAGGCAGAGTGCGCCGCCCGCATCCAGACGTAGTGTTGCGGGTGAAAGTCGTCCTCTACCTCCTGCAGCGCCGCCTTCGACCGCTTCAAGGAACATCCACTGAATATGTCATCCATTTCTATCCTCTGAAGCCAAATTTTGACGTTCTCTAGAACCTGGGCGTTGCTTTCCTCCTGTTTACAAAGTTTACATCTCCACACAGTTTCGCCCAGCCAGGTGCACGGCAGGAGGTAGGACTGCACACAGTCTGGGCATCTTGGGGAGGAGAAATGTGTTCCTAGTTCAGTCGGGTCCCCACAGCGGGGACAGTTACAGGAAAAGTGATAAGACAACGTTAATGTTTCGTTACGCTCCCAAATAGGCATGAGCGCCCCCGTGTAGCAAATACAGAGAGGCTCCCCGACAGAGACGGGCACCGTTGTCCTGGCCTGTATCATCCCGTTATAGGCGACGGACAGATGTACGTTGGGTGCACACGAGTTGTTGAACAGTCGTATCAACGGGTACATGGCTCTAACTCTTGTATTTTTATCACTCCTTATTTCCATGCCGTTTGTGGCGACGGCGCCTCGCGCTTGATTTAAAATATCTAAATCATAGTCGAGCTTGAGGACATCAGACAGGTAGCGGACTGTGATTAGGTGTTGTTCTTCTTTGTTGAGTTGACGCTGCTCTGAGTGGTGGGCCATGTCGAGGATGGTCTGCCAGCCTGAAGGATTGGTAGACTGCAGCAGGAGGCAACGAATTGGAGCGATGACGTCGTAGCGTGGCGTCTCGCCTTGCTCTGTAGGTGGTGCTATGTGTTTGGTGTCGAGAGCCAGAATGGCACACTCTCCCTTGTGTAGACGGCTGGAGGCACAGGCGAGGGAGCACAAGGGCCACCAGCACTTGGGACAGCGAGGGAAGTCGTCACCTGTGATGGAGCCGTGACAGCCTAGACACAAGAGAGGGCAGATGGACAGTGGAGCCACCACCACCGGAGACTCGTACACCAGCATCTGCCCCGCCGTTAACTTCCGCGACGCCACCATGTGCCTGTAAAGTTACTCTATCTCAGAATGCTTCATAAATGCGGTTTTATGGGTCCTGAAACTTAAAGATCAGCACATAGCTCTTCAACTCTGTAGGCAAGTCAATGAGGGTGAAGTTAACATACTCACTATCTACGGCTTATAGGAGACTGCAACATATACCGTAAGGTCAAAATTGCATTGAGACTCGTTGTATCCTCAATAAGGGATAATAACACAACTGTGTGAGTCTTTGAGATCGTGACCCAGGAGATTATGTAAACAACTTGTTAGTGAAATATAATACGCAGAAACATTTAATTACTTCTTAGGTTATTGTATCAAATAAATTTGATTCATAAGAGCGCGTCACTGCCAGCAGAAGGCGGGCGAGCTTTTACAGTATCTGGCGTAACTTGAATAAATATTATCATGACAGTGACATGAACGCCAGGCTCTAGTGATTTTTAGCGCTGCTTTTATATGACTTGGAAGCACTAGAATCAACCTTGACCTATAGAGCACAACACTGGTGGACTCACTTGCCGGCCTCTGGGGTAGACACAACTTTATAAGGAGGACACTCAACCCGGTGCTTTGGCCAGTGCTGCCGCTGATGCTCCTTGCCGCAGTAGTGCATGGATCCGCAGCCGCCGCATGTCAAGGAGGCCACAGTATGGCACACGCCGCAGGTGCCAATATCGCCGCCACCCATCCTGCCTGCGGTCCTAGGGGTTAGACATAGGAATTAGTTTAGGAGGTTTGTTTTGTCCTTTGCTGCCGTGTTACCTGGTGTACCGCAGGAGGAGCATCTCACGGCGTCGCATCAACACCAATACAAACTGCCTTTATGTTCTGCCATTATACTTTATAGTTTATCTTTTTGTTTCCTTGATGTAGAGTAAAAGAATGTAACACACATACAAGAGCCGAGAGACACACAGACGTATATATATGAACCTAATATTATAAAGTGTAATAAGCCGGTCTAGTGGGGGAGGTGAGGGAGGGAAGGTGAGGGAGGGGGAAGTAGGGGTGAGGGGGGAAGGTGGGGGAGGGAGGAGGCGAAGGGAGGGAAGGTGGGGATGAGGGAAGGAAGGCGATGGTGAAGCAGGGAAGGTGGGTGTGAGGGAAGGGAGGTGGGGGAGGGAGGGAGGGAAAGTAGGGGTGAGGGAGGGAAGGGGTGATGGAAGTATGGAACCGTTAATTACCTAAACTTTGATGACCAAAGTTCTTAATGACGTGTACACACACACACACACACAACAAGACACAATGCGCACATACACATTCCTCCGAGCAACAAGCGTGAGCACTGAGTCAGAAATAACACTACCACCACAGTCTACAGCATGGAGAACACTCAAGAACGCTTTACTATTGTCACGGGTGTGTCAGGGTGTGTGTTAGGGTGTGTCAAGGTGCCAGGGTGTGTCAGGGTGTGTCAGGGTGTCAGGGGGTGTCAGGGTGTGTCATGGTGTGGGTGTGTCAGGGTGTGTGTTAGGGTGTGTTAGGGTGTGTTAGGGTGTGTCAAGGTGCCAGGGTGTGTCAGGGTGTGTCAGAAGGTGTCAGGGTGTGTCAGGGTGTGTCAGGTATGTACACTTGCCTTCCCCCTCCCCTTACCTCTCTCCCTTACCACACCCACACCCTTTTCACAGGTCTAAGTTACAGAGTTTATTGATAAAGTGAGTATGTCTGTGTTTGAGAGAGAGAGAGAGAGAGAGAGAGAGAGAGAGAGAGAGAGAGAGAGAGAGAGAGAGATGACAGCCTATATTGACAGTCCCTCACACGTGGCCTGTATGTTTGTGTTGACAGTCAGGAGGGCCAAGTATTAAGGCTTAGAATAAGGAGGCAGGTGTGTGGATGGAAGCAGGTGTGTGGATGGAAGCAGGTGTGTGTGGGTGGAGGCAGGAATGTGGCCGGAGACAGATTTGTTGAGGGAGGCAGCAGGTGTGTGGGGGGGGGTGGAGGCAAGTGTGTGTGGGTGGAGGGGTAGGAATGTGGCCGGAGACAGATTTGTTGAGGGAGGCAGGTGTGTGGGAGGAAGTGGTGTGTGTTGAGGCAGATGTGTGGGGAAGGGTGTGTGTGGGACGCAGGTGTGTGTTGGGGGAAGCAGGTGAGTGGGGTGGAGGCAGATATGTCGCGTGGGGGCAGGTATGTGGGAGAAGGCAAGTATGTGGCAGGAGACAGATGTGTGTGGTGGGAGACAGGTGTGTGTGTGGGAAGGAGACAGGTGTGGAGGAAAGTCGCAATCTGTGTTTGTTACGTAGTGTGTGTGTGTGTGTGTGTGTGTGTGTGCAGGAACATGGGAGAAGAGTTGAGAAGGTGATGGAAGATGATTTATCTATCTCTCTCTCTCTCTCTCTCTCTCTCTCTCTCTCTCTCTCTCTCTCTCTCTCTCTCTCTCTCTCTCTCTCTCTCTCATTTCTCCATTTTCCTGTCCCTATTCCCCTTCTCTTCCATCCCTCTTTACGTCTCCCTCTCCACCAACTCCCATTTCTCCACACTGTTTTTTGCCCTCTCTCCATTTCTTCTCATTAAACTAAAGCCTCGTAGAACCTTAACCACTAAAACCACCCACAAAACTGTTAAGTACCCAGACCTGTACCCTTTATATACCCCTCTCCCTCCCTCCCCCCTCCCCCCTACCCCTCCCTCCCTCCCCCCATCCCCCTCCTCCCTCCCCTCCCCTCGCTGCCAGCTACCTCATGACGCACCAACTGGTTACTTAATTTTTCCCAACACCTGTCGTATAAATATTCTCAGGTATTTTTTAATCAATACCTTAAACTAACATGAAAGGAGTTTTGTTTTTTTGTTTTTTATTCTATATTTTACGTTAGTTTATTATGATCATTTATTCCGAGGTGTATAATACGTGTTTTAGAGTACGATAATTGACGTTTTAGAGTACGATAATTGACTACTATAAATAATATAATTGGCGTACGGTATGATGTTTATAACCTTTCACTGCCTGAGGTATGATAATTCGTGAGTTGGGTAAATTTGTCCCTCTATGCTAAATTTACCTCTCAAATATATTCACCTACAAACCTCTTGAATACGATAACTTGACGAAATACGACGATAACGCTTAATATTAGTAAACAACGGGTGTAGGTATCAGATTCTCTCCCATCGTCATAATTCTGTGTAATTTTAACGCCATCTTTATGTTATTAGTTTGTCGTAGTTTAAGTCAGTCAGTCAGATAATGATGATGATGAAGACGATAATAATGATGATTAGAAGAGCAATAATGATGGTAATTATGATAAAAGTAATAACGATAAGAATACTAATGATGACGAGGGCGATGATGATGGTAAAAACGATGATATTTAGGGCCTATGACGAGAATGATGATGGGAATGATGACGATGATGACGGAAGCAATCATTGTCTATTTTCAACTCCTCCGTCTATTTCCATCTCAATTCCCAGGTGACCCATCATTCGTTATACCTGTCACGCCCCTACAGGTGAGTCAGCGTCCTGTCCCAACGCTAATTAGTATTTGTAAATAGCCTTGTTGAACCTTGACTATCTGCGTATATGTGGTGTGGGTGTTCTAACTATTGCGTACATGTGGTGTGGGTGTTCTAACTATTGCGTACATGTGGTGTGGGTGTTCTAACTATTGCGTACATGTGGTGTGGGTGTTCTAACTATTGCGTACATGTGGTGTGAGTGTTCTAACTATTGCGTACATGTGGTGTGAGTGTTCTAACTATTGCGTACATGTGGTGTGGGTGTTCTAACTATTGCGTACATGTGGTGTGAGTGTTTTGACTATTGCGTACATGTGGTGTGGGTGTTCTAACTATTGCGTACATGTGGTGTGAGTGTTCTAACTATTGCGTACATGTGGTGTGGGTGTTATAATGCGTATGATACCACAAAACAACTTATATCATCGTGAAAATGCGCAAAAATGTGTCAAACTATACCTAAATTTACGAGTATGCGTAAGACAGCGTATGGATGATGCGTATTGCAGCGTAACATCACGATTTAAGCAACCAATGTGACGTGTGAGTGACGAGGCTCAGCTCACGTCACTGCTGTTGTGGTTGTTGATGTTTAGCTTCGGTACAGTGAAGTTACAGTGACCAGCAGGGTTGTTGTCACTGTTCATCACTTTATTCACGAATCTATCTTCTTATTCATTCATCTAGCTATCCAAACACACACACACACACACACACACACACACACACACACTTAAGCTGTTATAATCTTTCAATCTGCTTTTATTTTCATTAATGCCAATATTATCTTCCAAACTTGTGTGTATTTGTGAACCTACAGACAACACGGGGCGGTATAATACTGTGTCGAGCATGAAGGCCACAGACCGCCTCACGCAAGTAGGTCAGGAAGCAACAGTACCTACCTGGTGGTACGTGGGGTAGTGGTGTGTCCCTTCCTGCTGTTCAGGCTCGTTAGTGCACCTTTATGTAGTGATTATGTTGTTCATATATGTATCTTTCGTTACATCTCTTGCGTTGTAAAGTTCATCACCTGTTTGAAGGTTTATCTGATTTCTGCATCAGAGTCCAGAGTATTGATTCACAAAGGCAGATGGGAAGATATTTTTTCCTATTTGACGTCTGTCAGTGCGAGTCGTAAAAGTATGAGAGGGCCGAGTAGGTGAGGCACCTTCCCTGTGTGTCAATGTGGCCACCAGCCGTCACAGAGGACTTCTGCTCTACCCGTACACTCACACACACATATATATATACTCTTGGTTTACGTGCATGTGTGTAACTTTCACTTTTAGTTTTCCTCAAACTGAGGTAAACACTCGCTACTTCCTGCTGGTGGTGTGGCAGGAGGGCGGCCAGTCACTGTTACTGTCGCTGCCCCGGCGAGTCTGGTGTGAACCCTGACCGTCGGGGGTCCTGTGAGGAACTGAGGGAGGCACTGCCACGTGCCCGACGCCCCCGCTACTGTGAGAAAAATTGTGGGGAAGTAGTGGTCTGCTTACTGGCCGGGCACCAGGCGAAGCACGGGGCCCTGATTGCTCTAGTTTACCGTGTGTGCCCGCGGCTGGTACCCCCCCCCTCCCCCTCCCCTTTCACACACCTTATCTGACCCACACATTAATTCTTATTCCTGAATCACTTAATAAAATAAGTGATGGTTAGTCATCGCCTCACGCTCAGTGAAGCAAAGAAAAGCGATGAATCTCTTTTTTTAACTTGCGCTGATTGGTGGCGCGGACAGGCTTGGCTACTCCGTCTCTGAAACATGTTGCTACTCTCTCAACGTGTCCTCCTCCTCCGCTACTTTTTTAACACCTCCTCTCCTCCTACTTCTCTCTAAACCCCCCATCAATTATTTCACTACCCCTTCTGCCATTTACGTGTGTTCAGTAAGTAATATTGGCACAGCAACAACATCGATGTGATCAAAAATCATTTTCTCTTTTGGTGGAAACGAGACCCTGCAGCCCCCGTTCGAGGTTGTTGTCGTTGGATGTTTTCCCGCCACACTGAAGAAGAATGTGTGTACGTGTGCTACCTTCTGCTACATTATCATTATAATTATTATTGATGTACAGTGTCAAGACAACACAGCACACTACTTTGTTCTGCCATAACCTTCATGAAGAGTCCTTAAACTATTGATGTCTCCTCCTGCCTTCCTTCCTCCCTTCCTTTCCTACTCTCTCTCTCTCTCTCTCTCGTTCTGAGTCTCTTCCCTCAAACTTGGGTGAGGAAGAAGTCAAGGCAGCAGTAGGACCTTCCACAACACACACACACTTCACCCACAGCACAGTTACGGAAGACAAAAAACCCGTCTCCGCAAGGTGGATAGCCCACCTGCTGTTAACCTTCTCCTCTACTTCCCACTTCTAAACTTTACCTTGTACTATACCCTTCTCCCACTCTCAGAGCCACTGCTCTCTTCTCTCCGTATAATCATCATCATCATCACCTGTACATCTTCCTTCCTCAGGCGTGAAGACCTCGACGGCCACACACAACTTTCCTCCCTTAACTCATCCATTTACGGTCCATCCTAAGTGCCATAGTGACGCCACTTTACCAATATCTCTATAATACATCTGAAGTGAGCCAGTTGGATACTTCTCATTGGTCCATTTAGTGAAGAAATTTATGTTCGATCTCTGACAACCCGGGTTTAGTTCTGGGAGTAACTAGGTGTTCGGTGTGTGAGGTGAGGAGAGCTGGTGTCAGGCTGAGGGATGGAGAGGGGGCAGGTATGTGTGTGTGTCCTTATACGCGGTACTCACACACTCATAATACCTTCCTGTGGGTATTGTTTACATCATCACAGCTGTGTCTGGGGTGACCCTGGGTGGTTTCCTTGCGACCAAACTCTTTAACACCTAACTGTGTATGTTAGTGTGCGTGATGGTGATTCTTGGTTATAATTCCACTCATTGATTTAATTCTCTGTTCATAATAATAATAGTCACCTATTTTTTCGAAGTCTTTGGTGTTTTCGGCGATGAATTATGCGTTGGTGAACCAGACAAAGGCATATTTTGGCCTCCAGTTGATAAATATTAATATTAAACTACTATGCAAGAATATAGACACTTACTGAAGACTTATGCTCAGTCTGTGTTGAGTGTGGGATGTACAATGGTTCATAGCAGCTGTAAATCATATATGGAAGACAATGGAAACCAGCATTAGTCAGAGATAAGGTCAACACATAAATGGCTTACGTCGGGTACAAAGAAAGATATCTTGGCTGCTTTGGTCTACGATTCTTAAAGGCACGAACTAAGAATTTTACCCTTAGTGATATGAGAACGTATCAGATCGGTTCACTTATCTAACGATACAAAACCCATTCCGGGACGATCGCAATTAGACACTTTTTCTTATCTATATTTTTATTTTTTGAAGGTTTAATCTACGAATCTTGGACAATAACATCGAGCACCTGACTGAGTTCTTGAGGTGACTGTGAAGTACCTAAGGTTCCTGAATTGCTTGGCAACTGTGTCGTGGTTGTACTGTCTGACCGATAGCCTCACTCCCTCCCCCTCTCTCTCTCTTCTTTCTTTCTTTCTCCTCCCTCCCTTTTCCTCCCTCCCTCCTTCTCCTCTTCCCCCTCCTTCCCTCCCTCCTGCCCTTACCTTCCCTCCTTCCCTCCCTCCTAGATATACCTGAACTACCTGTGCAGTGTACTTGGATGAGTGTACTTGGATGAGTGTACTTGGATGAGTGTGGCTCACTAAGCTCAGCATCTTCAGGAGAGGAGAGCTGGCAGGTGCTCCCGATGGTCTTATTGTCCTTGTGTTCAGGGAAAAAATAAAGAAATAAATAGATCAAGCGTCGTAAAGCACAAGTGAAATTAAGGAATGCTTTTAACACACACACACACACACACACACACACACACACACACACACACACACCTGCTCGCCGCCCTTACGATCAACATAAAGTAACTGTTTATGATGGTTAAGTGACTCATAGGTTGTTTGAAGGTGTGTGTACGTGTGTGTGTGTGTGTGTGTGTGTGTACGTGTGTGTGTGTGTGTGTGTGTGTGTGTGTCCTTTGTGTCCTCTGTGTGTGTGAGTGTGTGTGTGTCTCCTGTGTGTGTTTCCTTTGTGTCCTCTGTGTGTGTGAGTGTGTGTGTCTCCTGTGTACTTCAGTGTGTGTGGTGTGTCGAATTACAGAGATATGTAGATGTGTTAATTCAGATTATCTCTCTCTCCCGTTTACTTCACATATTTATCTACCTTTTATTTACAACTTCATAAAATTATAATTAAACGAATAACTTGTGTGTCTACTTCTTCATCTACTTCTTCATCTACTTCTACGTCTACTCATGGTCTTGATGAGTCACTTCCTCGAGCCCCAGGAGGTAGGAGAGAAGGTCAGGTTAGTCGGTCGTAAATATATATATATACAGTATATATATAATTATTTACATACTAAAACACGAGGTGTTCCTCCATCTCCACCTTCTCCATTCCACCTCCCTCTCTACCCTCTCTACCCCATTCTAACCCCCTTAACCCTATGTCACCCCCTCCACCCCTCTTCAATTTCTTTACCCCCTCTAATTCTCCACCACCCCCACTCCACCTCCTTTCCTCATAACCCCCACCACGCCTTTCCTCTCCAACACCTCCTTCCACCTCTCCTCATATAACCCCCACCACGGCTTTCCCCTCTCCACCACCCCCACTACACCTCCTTTCCTGGCAACCCCCACCTGACCTTCTCTCCAACACCCCCACTCCACCTCCCTTCTCATAACCCCCCCCACGACTCTTTCCCCCTCTCCACCACCCCCACTCTATTCCCCCATCTTCACAATCCCCACTACCTCCCACCCATCCCCCACTCCACACCCCTACGCCACCCACCCCACAACCCCCACCCACACACACCACCCCCTAAACTGAGTGCCTGTCTCTATTGGCACCTCTTGGCACTTTAGTTATATAGAGAAATATGTTTATTAAAAGTCACGTAATTAATAATTTCTCCCGATATTCATTTTTATTTTTTGTCATTTTTTTTTTGTATTTGATATTTTATTCATTTTTCACTTTATTGTATGTTTATTTGTTTGTTTATTAAGATAATTCATGAATACAGGCAGGGATACAGAAGCTATATAATTAAAGAGTCATTCCATTCACTGTAACTGTACCCTGTGTTGTTTGTATTGGCGATGTAACCTTATTCTCTTCTATAACTTGGCCTCCCTGTATTGAGAGAAATTAATGGATCTTCGTCCTACTGAAAGAAACGAATGGATCCTCTTCCCACTGAACACAGGACGACTAAGTGTTTGTTGATACTCTGTGCTGCGTTGTATGAGTCTTGAAATTCTCTCTTTCCCTGGACAGTAAATAGCACCTCCTCTCTCTCTCTCTCTCTCTCTCTCTCTCATGGATGATTAGTGAGTTATCTGAATGACAGGTAAGTGCTCCTCCTCTTCTCCTCTCCACGCTTCTCCACCTCTCTTTCCCCTCCTCTCCTCCGCTAAAGAGAGAGAGAGAGAGAGACCTGTCATAGCTAGCACTCAGGCCTTGAAAGGTATGCTAATTGCTGGACTATCAAAGCAGGTGATATAGAGGAACACAGATGATGGTAGTGGTGACATAATTAGATGACTAGAATACCCGACTTACCCTCATTAGCGCTGGGATAATGATGCCTTAACCTGACACACTTCTGACACGTTTCTGACACGTTTCCGACACATTTCTGACACGTTTCCGACACATTTCCGACACACTTCTGACACGTTTCTGACACGTTTCCGACACATTTTCGACACTTTACTATTTTTTTTTATCATTTACACGATGGCAAAATTATTCAGGTGTGAAATTCTATTGTTTACTTTAGTCTTCCCTTAAAGTGATTTAACCTGGTGTGTTTTTTTTTTATCATTTACACGATGGCAAAATTATTCAGGTGTGAAATTCTATTGTTTACTTTAGTCTTCCCTTAAAGTGATTTAACCTGGTGTGTTGCTTGGTAGTGTCTGTGTGTTAGTGATTGATAGTGTGGCCTGTCATAAACCTATCAAAGAGCTGTCATAACCTATCAAAGAGCTGTCATTAACCTTCTTAAAGAGCTGTCTTAAACCCGTCAAAGAGCTGTCATAACCTATCAAAGAGCTGTCATAAACCCGTCAAAGAGCTGTTATAACCTATCAGAGAGCTGTCATAAACCCGTCAAAGAGCTGTTATAACCTATCAGAGAGCTATCATAAACCCGTCAAAGAGCTGTTATAACCTATCAGAGAGCTGTCATAAACCTATCAAAGAGCTGTCATAAACCCGTCAAAGAGCTGTCATAACCTATCAAAGAGCTATCATAAGCCCGTCAAAGAGCTGTCATAACCTATCAAAGAGCTGTCATAACTTAATCAAAGAGCTGGCTACAACCTATCAGAGCTGTCATGTCCGTCAAAGAGCTGTCATAAATCTATCAAAGAGCTGTCATAACCATCAAAAGCTGCTCACAAACCCGTCAAAGTAAGCTGTCATAACCTGTCAAAGAGCTGG